TAAAAACACAACCATCGTGTAAGTTGAGAGAGAGACTGCAGTCTAAGCTTTCCACTTTGTTATTTTGCTTTTCACCTCCTAAGCTTTGCCACCAGTCAAATGGGCTACGGTCCATCAAATCTTGAATTAAGATTTATTCTAGATTATTATTATCTATACCTCCCTGACCATTGTCCACCAGCATCAGAACTCTATTCTCAGCTCCCTTGAAGAAATAAGAAATAAAGTTTTGGGGATTCCATCGGGAAAATAGAATTTTTGAATGTCAGGAATGGAAGAGAACTTAGAAATGATCTCATTCAACTTCTTCAATTGACCGGTGAGGAAACTGGAATCCAGGAAGGTTGAACGATTTGCTCAAAGTCAAATGGCTAAAATCACAGAATCTCAGGACTCATTTCAGACCTGTCATAAATATGAAATTCCCTCCTGAGCTGTATTATTATGCTCATAGCAATCCCGTGAAATTGGCAGGGCAAAACGTCTTACAGAAGACCAATAGCCTCTGCCCGGATAACTTGAGCAAATTCTCCAACATGGATTTGGCAAGGAAGGGGAGAGGAGAAAGGAAGGTCGGAAGGGGGAGGGCAAGCAAGCAAGAATAACTTCCATAGCGCAAGTAACGTACCCTGGTCTAGTTAGCAAGACTACTCATCTGTTAACATAAAATGTCTGTGATCTGGTCAGATACTGCGTTGAATATATTCCAAAGTGCTCTTTTACTGTCCGTGATGGTTCGGTGAGGTGGGCTGGTGAGAGCTCAGGATTTCTCTAGATGGTGCTGTCCAACAGAACTTGCCCATGATAACGGACATGTTCTAAATCCCATAATCCAATACAGTACCCAATAGCCACATGTGGCTATTGAACACTTGAAATGTGGCTAGTGTTACTGAGAAACTGAATTTTTAATTTTACTTACTTTTAATTAAGTTAAATTTAACTAGCCACATGTGCCCGGTAGCTACTACATTGGGCCGCACAACTCTAGATGAATAAAGCTGCCCCAAACACAAGTTGACTTGACCCATAAGCTTGATTTTCTTTGGGGAACCTAAAGGGTTGTAATAATGAATGTTGACATCAGATCTCACCACAAAATGTATACATGGCAGCAGCAAAAATAAATAACGTATGAATCAGGATTCTTAGTTGCAAACAATGGAGAACAAACTTAGCTAATTTAAGCAGAAAAGGGGTTTATTAAAGCATCTTAGGTCACTCACAGAGTCTGTGGGAGGCCAGAAAACCAGGCTTGGAGGCTCCGTGGCCAGAACCAAGACACAGGCCCCCTGCAGGGCTGGTCTGGAGGAGACAGCACAGCTCCACCACTGGACCCAGTGAAGCACCTGCTCTGCTGAACTCACAAGTCCTGGGCATTGGGTGTCACCATGAGGATCCCTGACATGGCTGCTTGCGGACACTGGCTGGATCTGCTGCCACCATGGCCAGATCGGATTCTGTGTGGCACCTGATGCTATGAATTGCTGGCCTCTGATTCCAAGTCTGGAACAGGCAGGGGCAGGTGACTGACTGAGCCCAGGTCACATGTCTGGGCTCTAGCTGCAAGAGAGGCTGGAATAGCAAGAATCTGGCTTCTATAGAGGGGAGCAGACTCGTGAGCTGAGGAACAAACAAACAAAAACAAACACCTGCTGCACCTGCCTTCTAGGGAAGAAGGCTCATGTGCTACAAGTACCAGGCCTCCTGGGTGATGGGGTTTTTTTTGTTGTTGTTGTTAGTACTGTCAAATTGATTCTGACTCCTAGCGACCCTGTGTGCAGCAGAGCAGAACCCTGCCCCGTTTCTTTGCGCCATCCTCTCACCTTCCGGTGCTGTATCAAACAATGTTCTGCTGCTATTCACAGGGGTTTCATGGTCAGTTTTTTTGGAAGTGGGTAGCCAGGTCCTTCTTCCTGGTCTGTCTAGTCTGGAAGCTCCACTGAAAGCTGTTCACCCTGGGTGACCCTGCTGGTATCTGAAACGGCAGTGGCATAACTTTCAGCATCAGACCAACACGCAGCCACCTCAGTCTGACAATTGACAGAGAGCTGGTGTGGTTCCCTGACCAGAAATGAACCCAGGCCACAGCTGGCTGGGTGATGGGTAGAGCTACAGCATTGAAGACCTGAAGGGCTGGGGCACAGAGTAGATTAATTGCTGGCATATGAGGCACTATGTACTACCACGGGGAAAATAGAATATGTCAGAGAATTAGGAGGGGGTGAGTTAACAAAAAGAGAGCATTGAGAGAGACAGTCAAGAGTTTTAGAGTAGCTGCCACAACGAATGAGATTTTGTGAAGTGTAATATTACACTTTTTCATGTGACTCCAATAAAGATTTACCGTACTTTTTGAGCCTTTTTTGGAGTTGCATGTGTGTGCATGTTTTGCATAACTGGGATCACTGTACACATATAGTTCTATATACTCTTGTTAAGTTCATTCCTTAATATAGCATGGGTATCTTTTCCTTTAATTATATTCACCTCTATGCCATCCTTTTTAATGCCTGTATAGTACTCCATTGTACAAATGTACCATACTTTATTTAACCAATCTCCTACTGATGGTCAGTTAGATTGTTTACAACTTATTTTCTCCTAGATTGTTCTACACTGAGCATCCCTGTGTACTTTCCCAGTTATTCCTTTAGGTAAAATTCCTAGAAAAAGAACCGCTATACTAGTGGCTAAGCACATGTAACATATTGACTTATATTTGCAAGTCATATTCAAAGGTAGTAACAATTTATATGTCCATCCAGGGCTGGGACTAGGAGGTGAGTGAGACACTTTGCCTTGGGCACAAAATTTAAGAAGGCATTTAAAAACTCAGTAATCAAGACAAATAATGTTTAAGGCAATATTTTTAAAATCAAATTAATGCA